TCTGGTAGTTAGTCTTCTTAGCCTTAGATTATCTGACGTGACTATTTTATGCTAGCGTTGCATAGGCTTAGTCCTGTATGAGGCTACAGCTGGTGTTGTTATGTGCCAGTAATGCTGTAACTGATTTGTGTCGTGTAATGTCCTGGTGTGATTTGTCTTGCTATGTGCATGTCATGTTCTAACTGTGCCAAGTGTATATAGTTACTGTTTGTGCGTAAGGGACCGAGTGGAGTGGGAGTGTCCTTTTTGTGATTAATGCGTCAGGTTATTTTTTTGTTCAAAAATCCAGAAAAACTTTAACCTTGATGGATCAATCACCTTGACAGCTTTCTCCCCTTTTTTCTTGATTTAGCCTCCTTACTTATCACTTTTTCACTACAACACGTTACTTACTCTTGCTTAGCGTTTATAATCACTTGCTTGTACACTGTGGTTTTATGCGCACGTTACTTACACCTGTGTGCTGTGGGACTCACGTTTGACTGGGTTACACTTGTAAACACAATATGGTTACCTTGTTTGTTGTTCTTCTTTGTTCGTCAAACTCGTTCAGATAACTTCTTATTGAATTCATTCGTGTCCCTACTGTTGTTAGCCTTCATTCGTTGAGAGCCTTCCGTCCTCTTTCCTTTTGCGGTCCGAGTTCTTTGGAGCCTCTTTATTGCAGGTTCTTCGTCTACGTTACTGGATCTCCTTGTGAGATCTATTCTAATAAAATTCAAAGAACCTGATGTTTTACTTCACTCCTATTACCTTCTTGGTTTTAGAGTGTAAGTTGTTAGACTTATCTAAGTAATGATATTGTAAAAAATGTAGAGTATGGAGAGTAGCTGAACGATACAAGACAATAGGATACAATAGACCTCTTCTCAAGTACGGTTATTTCAGCTAGGAAAAGTCCCTAGTCTGAGAGAACCGAACTGAGTCTTTATTTGTGTTTTTACTAGACTCAGGATTTACTCGAGTGTTTTTATCATACGCGGGAGTCCCGGTATATCTTACCGGTTCTACCGCTAATATTATATGGTTACCTTGTTTGTTCTTCTTCTTTGTTCGTCAAACTCGTTCGTCAAACTTCTTATTGAATTCATTCGTGTCCCTACTGTTGTTAGCCTTCATTCGTTGAGAGTCTTCCGTCCTCTTTCCTTTTGCGGTCCGAGTTCTTTGGAGCCTCTTTATTCCAGGTTCTTCGTCTACGCTACTGGATCTCCTTGTGGGATCTATTCTGATAAAATTCAAAGAACCTGATGTTTTACTTCACTCCTATTACCTTCTTGGTTTTAGAGTGTAAGTTGTTGGACTTATCTAAGTAATGATATTGTAAAAAATGTAGAGTAGGGAGAGTAGCTGAAAGATACAAGACAATAGGATACAATAGACCTCTTCTCAAGTACGGTTATTTCAGCTAGGAAAAGTCCCTAGTCTGAGAGAACCGAACTGAGTCTTTATTTGTGTTTTTACTAGACTCAGGATTTACTCGAGTGTTTCTGTCATACGCGGGAGTCCCGGTATATCTTACCGGTTCTACCGCTAATATTTCTGATGACTCCAATATCAGAAATATTCCAATCCTAATTCCAAAACCCAGTATTTGATGATTCTGGGTTTTGGGTTTTGGATTGGCTTTTTGATAATCTGGTCCCTAGATGCTACACCTCTCTTGAACCCATGCTTAAGTATCTTGGATTACTTATTCAGTTGCAATTGTTTTGCGTGATTGTCATGTCTTTGTTAGAGTGCAATGTAGTAGACTTTAAATAAAGTGCAAATGTATGTATTTATTTCTGACCTCACCTTTGGTTTTATACTTAAGGTATTTGTGCTAGTGTTCAGCCGCTTGGGCCGGCCAGGGTAAAAAAACTCATATGGTCAGTATGATAAATCTTATGCGGAACACTTTAACACTTCATTGTTTTTCTATCTCAACTTCTCTGCAACTAAATCTCACGCTGATCACATGATGCCTTTCCGCATAGATTGTGACTCACAAAGAACCGCAGCTATTATTAGAATGTTGCGGTTGACAGGCTTAATCCACTCTCGGGAATCGGTTGAGAAACTTAATCTGCTCTCGGAAGTCGGTTAAGTAATAACTCAACTCTTGAGAGTAATTTGAGCAACTTGGTTAGCTCTCGGGAGTGAGCTAACTCTGAGCTCTCGGGAGTGAGCTAACTCTGAGCTCTCGGGAGTGAGCTAACTTTGAGCTCTCGGGAGTGAGCTAACTCTGAGCTCTCGGGAGTGAGCTAACTCAGATGACTTCCATAAATTAAAGATGGTTTCTTGCTGTAAAATCTGGCCTGAGACCTGTAGTCTCTCAGTCTTAATTGACTAATCTGTCCCAACTCCTTTCTTGATTGTTCTTATTTTTCAGTATACTCAATCACGTCGTTGTTGTTTTTGTTTGTGTATTCTTATGGGTTGGATTATCCCCAAACAAGCTCTATGTTTGTCTTCTTTCTCTAATTCGATGTTACCAGTCTCGTGTGGGAACTGATCTTGTTCCTAGTTCCTTTGTCTACGAACTTATTCAGTTCTGTGTGCTCTTTTACCATGTCTAGTGAGACTCCTATTACTCCTCACTTGTTCGTGAAGGTTTATGTCTTACTTATATGATGTTATTGGGTGTGCATTATAAGATTGTATATGCACTATTTTCTTTCACTATATAAGTAGAGCCTGAAATGTCCTCAGAAGCGATTTCCTCTGAAGACTCGTGTTTGATGAAGTGTTTTCGTTCCTAGTGTTTATGAGTGATTCTATTTTTAAAGTACGATCCCCTACTCTAAGCTAATGTTTACAAGTCTCCATCTTGGGTGTTCAATGTTATTTGCGGGTGAATTGCCCTGCACATTTGTTCTCCACCCTAATCACTCGTACCTGTGAGTTATAGAACGCTTGTAACATCTATTGTTATACTTATTAATGCTATCCTTTTGACCTACTTGTGATGTCTGTTTAACTCGAATTTGGTGCTCTCTAGCTTGTGTGTCTGTGCTGAAGAGATCCTTCTTGCTACTACTCGTGAGTGTATAAGCCTCACTTTGTTTGCTTTCCTCACCTGTTTGGCTAGATTGTTATATATAATGACATCCTTATCAATATACTACATCTAGGGCTAGTGTTGGTCGATATGCTGTTTCTGTCACTATTTTGTGGGATATGTTCCTATCTATTTAATTTTTCTTGTTCGAAAATCAATGTGACACTTCTTCCAAATTTCACACTGCAGTTGAGCCCCAACATTGATAATTATATCACCTTGACAGTTTTTGGTTGTTTTTCCTCTACCTATTGTGAGACCTTCTTGAAACTCCCAAAAACTTACCTTACTTTTTGTCCAGTGGCAGTGGAGAACGTGGGCCAGCTTCTTATCTGTTTCTTGTTCCCTTCTCAGTTCTCTTTTCTTCTGTCAACTGAGCGTAGTCTCTCAGCTTCCTGTCTGCCTCCTAGTTGTTGCGTGGTGGAGTTTGTGGGAGCCCTTCTTGTCCGCTTCTTGGACCCGATTTCTTTTGTCCACGGTTCGTGGTTCCTAGGACTCCTGGTAGTCTTCTGATTATCGCCTGTTACAGTCTTGACACGTCATCACTGCATCTTCTTATGTATTATAAGTTTCTTAAGGCTCAATAAAGAAATTTGTGAGGTTCTTGGATGACCTCTTTCTGCTCACTACTTGTTTCTCACTGTAAGTGGGCCCTGTTTCTATCTGACTTATCTAAGTAAGGATATTGTAAAAAAAGATGTAGAAAATAGAGTGGAGCTGAAAGGTACGAGCCATAGGATACAATAGACCTCTTCTTAAGTACGGTTATCTCAGCTAGGAAAAGTTCTTAGTCTGAGAGAACCGAACTGAGTTTTTATTTATGTCTTCTAATTCACTAGACTCGGGTTTTCTACTTGAGTGTTTCTCTCACACGCGGAGTCCCGGTATAGCTTACCGGTTCGACCGCAAATATTTCTGATAGCTTTAATATCACGAATATTTGAATCCTAATTCCAAAACTCAATATTTGATGATTCTGAGGGTTTGGGATTTGGATTGGCTTTTTAGATAATCTGGTCCCTAGATGCTACAACCAGTCCAACGCAAGGCCACGGTATGTGTAGTGGGACTGGCCGTCCTGCCGCGCGACCATATAAATTACGTCAGCTTGATAGACAGCCACTCCTGGAACATCCGAGACTGGGGAGGGGATCACGGGGGACACTCGAGCAGTAGTGGGGCTAAGCACGCGAGAACCAAATCTTCGTACACGCCTTCATGGTGAATACTCTAATACGAATACACGTGTGAGGGATCAGGGAAGACTGGCTCTGGTGTCTGGAGAGGGAGTACAAACTTGCGTTGATGGACTGGAGGAGCCGGCTCATTTACACCCCAAACAATGGAGGAACGGAAGGACACTGCCGGTTGCAGAGGGGTTGCTCGCGGCGCCTTTATGCGGGAGACATTCACAGCCGATTGCCAGAAGCCCTCTTGGGGAGGATGTGTAACCCAGACGGAGGATGAGGGTGGTACCCCAGCTGGGTGGGCCTACCTTCTCCTAAACACACCGTCTGCTGGTAACGATAGGAAGCGCCAGGAGGAACATGGGCATTATGGCGAAATATTGTGCGTTCGGTATAGACGGGCAACACACTGTTACCCCGAGGGCTCGGTCAGAAACGAGTTTCAAGAACAGACGTTCCAAATCCTCCCATAGAGGATCAAGCCACAAATTCAAGGCACGCCAGCTGATAGCCCAAACGCCCCCCGCGCCAATGATGGGGGTCAAAATAGGCCATCTGCTGGTTACCTGGGAGGGCAAACCCGTCCGCATCATGCGGCCCGTATCGCGTATACTCAGTGGTCTGTGGTGTAGAGGTCACCACGAGTGACCAGTGCACCCGCTTGGTGACTTGCTTCAACGGGCCTCTCGCGGGTCATCTGTGAAACCATCCTGTTTCCAGTTGGCGAGCAGCGAAATGCGGTCCATGTGAACTTCCATATCACAAGCCGAACGTTTGATATTTCGCCAGAGCTTATTTAATTCGTAGACACCTGCTAGCCACTCCTTGTCTGTAACATGGTAGTTGTACCGAGCAGGTGAAAACCTGGACGAGAAATACGCTACCGGTAATAGCTGTTTGTCTCGACGCACGTATAGGCAACCGCCTACGCCCACGAATTCACAAACGTCAAAGTATAACGCCAGCTGCACCGAGACTGCTGGTTTTGCCAGTTCCGTGCGCTGGGCGAGCAGTGCGTTGAAGGTATCGAGCGCAAGCTGATGTTCCTCAACCCACTTGAAGGGGACATCTTTCTTAAGCAAGGCTGCGATAGGCTGCAGCACTACCGCGAATTCAGGTATATACGATTTCCAGTAGGCTGCCGTATGATACCAGGATTTGTTAAGGTCATACTCGGTTGGGTGTGGGAGGTTGACCAGGGCTGCCAGACGCTCATCTGTAATTGACACACCCCGGAAGAGCTCCTTTGCTTTACGCTCTTTTGCGCCCCCTCGAGCTCGTCGCTTAGACGAGCACTTTCCAGTGGCTGTGGGGTTCACAGCATGACGACAGTGTGTTCCACACGCACACCGCCGCCAGGGGTCTAACCATGGGATCACATACAAGTTGTGGCCCAAATCGAACGCTGAGACCCAACGCAATACGCATTGAGTTTTATACCTAAGTAAGAAATGCGCCTCATACAGCAAATTTATCGTAACTAACCATGACTGCGTCATCTTGGAAGCGTAACCATCAACTGTATAACATCGATATCAATGTTAACTCGGTGAGATGGGGTGATAATACCCTTGCCATATAAACCATAAATCGGTGGTCCCGAATAGGGAAAAGATTCAAGGCTAAGTTTGTTTACTACCTGCTCGTCAATAAAGTTATAAGCCGAGTCGATGTCCATGTATATGTCAACCTCATGGTCATGCACAAATCCGTTGACCACCGGCCCGTTTCAGAAAGTGGGTTTCTGTTTCGGGGTGGCGGTTGCTGCCGTTGTCTTCCGCTTTTCGGGACAGTTGGCCGCCTCATGACCCGGTCTGCCATATGCAAAGCAAATAGTGTATTCTGCACGGGCAACAGGGGCTGCCTTGGTCTGTGGAGCCGCAGGCTTCGTGTGCTTGCTGTCATCATGTGACGGTTGGCTGTACGAGAGGCTAATAGTCCTCGCCTCTCGCTTAGGAGGCGACCGAGACCGCACTCGATCCTTGTCGCAGATGTAACGGTCTCGACGTTCCTTTTCGTCATCCCAATAATATAACGTCTGGCACGCTCTCTACGGTGGTCGTCGTCTAGGCAATCCTGTTTATCATCCAGGTATGGCTGACAATTTTTCTCATGTTGGGCCAACTTGCGTTGGTGCTTGGAGATCGGGTTGCTCCCTGATGACCGGTTGTCAAAAAATTCACAAATGCGCCCCTGGAGACGATCCTGGGCACGTGAGGTGGCCGCATTCGCCGATGGGTATGGTACAGACTGAAGAGAAAACGAATCACCGGCTTAGATCCGCATATGCCGTGTCCAGCCAAGGACACCTGTTAGTTCGTTGAGCTCGTAGATCGCTGCCAATGATGGAGCATACAATGTAACCTTGAAAACTTCTTTAATAAAATCTTCGATTGCATCAATTACGAATTTCAGACCAATGAACACCACTTCTCCAAAGGATGGGTGGATGGACGATAAATAGATGAGTTCGCAAGAAGCATCATCGGCCGCCAAAGTAAGCATCTGCGTGACAGAGCTTGTGCCTTTCTTGCCTGCAAAACGCACCATTTTTACAACCTGCGCCTCTCTGCAGCGTTGCATGGAAGCACTGCTGTTGCAAACAGTTCCGTGCAATTGACAGCATTGAGAGCACGAATCGATCCGTGGGAACACCCCGGATCCTTTGCAACAGCGATCTTCGTCATACACTCGGCTTGCAAAAGCTTATCCGCCGCTCGACGAATCTTCGTGTCCGCTGGCGTTTCATTGTGCGCTGGTTCAATTGGAGTGACCGCATCTGGTGACGGGAACAAGCCTGGACCAAGTGCACCTGCCAAGAAGGACTTAAAAGTCAAATACATCAGAGTCGTGCCGAGCGGCATCAATATCCATCCACTTGAAGAGGGCCGCGACCAACGCTTGGCGCGGTAGCAGCGAAATAAATACGGGGCAGTTACGTATCAACGTTCTCTTGGTCTGCATGTTACTATCATGCAAGAACCGGTGGAGTGGATAAAAATGCGCTAAGATGCTCATGAAAGTGTATGTGTGAGATGCACTAGCCTCCGGGGATAGAGCCCCTCCAGCCGATTCTCACAGTACATCGCTGAAAAACGTGCGGGTCATCACCACATGTACTTCCTCAGCTTGTGACTCATCGACGCCTGTCCACGCCCTGGTCGTTTTACGATTGTCGAGTCTTATAAGGACAGGCATTAGTAACTGCCCCCTCTTGGCTTCATAAACATCAATACCCTCACCTGTGGTTTTTAGGGGTTTAAATACTTTCTAAAATTAAGCTAAACTTACAAAGATGAATAAAAGAAAAGAAATTTGGATAAACTCACAAGCAACTAAATATTACTGACAATGTATGACACAAAATACTACTCCAAGATACTCCCTTGAAATTGTCAGTAAGTTTGGTGGCTATTCCTTGCCACCTATGGGCAACCAAAAAGAAGAAGCCGCCGATACTGTGCTGGGTTTAAATACCCGAGACTGGTCTCGGGTATTTTAACATTTATCTGAATCCGCGTGTGCGCTTAACACTAGGGCTCACTTGGGGTCTCGAACCCAATGAACCCTGACAGTTCGGTCCTATCTCTAAATTTTAGAACAGTTCATAAAATTATCAATGCCGCCCAAATACCCCGGACGGAGTACAGCCTCACACACAATCCAAAAAATATTTCAAAGAGCAATATAAAAATTATAATACATATATATTGTATATATATATATATATATTGTTAATATATATATATATGTGTGTAATATATGTAAATATATATGT